CCCCCCACCCATTAAAAACAAATCCTGTTCACTCATTTATGAATGTCAAAATGACTTTCACATTACACACTAAAACCAACTAATTGCTAATGAAACTCCATGATTCAAAAATCATAAAATACATATTTGGCATTTTATTAAAACAGTCACTGGGTGGTGGTGCACGCCTTTAATCCTAACACTTGGGAGGCAGAGGCAGGTGGATCTCTTTGAGTTTGAGGCCAGCATGGTATAGAACAAGTTCCAGGACAGCCAAGGCTACAAAGAACACTCCCCCTAAAAAAAAAGAGCCAACCCAAACAACAACAAAAACAAATCAGACTACCCTCTATTATGGTTGAGGAAGAAGCTAGTATATCATATTTATGATGATACAATTTGAATTTTATTTATATACATGCAATCCACCAGTAACTCATAATTATAAGTTAAGGAACATATTCATTCATTTAGTACTACTGACTATGGATTAGAGAAATGCAAAACAAACAAACAAACAAATGTCTTCAATAGGTCCCCAATGGAAATAACTACAAAAGAAACTAAAATTAAAAACAACAGCAACAACAAAATATAAAAAGAGCTCCACATAGTTTATACAGAGAAGGATGACTCTAAACTAGGAGGATAAATTATGGGCTTATCTAGATTTTACAGACACTTTTTTGTTATGGTGAACTGCTAATTTCTAAGAGATTTCCCATAGGATAGAGAAAGAGAGTGGGAGGGAAGACACACAGACAGACGAACAAGGAGATAGAGATATTACCTGTGGTCTTTGATAAATCACTCTGGCATAGAAACTGCAACAGGTACCATGCTCATCAGTCTGGAAAGGCATACAAAGACTAAAAATATTACACAAAGCACATGAAAGCAATAAAATTATTTGAAGAACCTGTTAAAAACACAGTCATTACCTGGAGGATTTCTCTTAAGCAGTGGACAACTGGAGGCTGGTAAAGCTTAGAAATGGGGTCTCCTTCAATTGCATCAATTTGTCCCAGACTCGGATGTGCAGAGAAGATATAACAGAAGAAAGGAGGAGGCAGATGAGTCTTTATCTGTTTGGCATAAAGGAATATGCAGAGTAAGAATGTCCTGTTAAAACATTCAAAAAATGCTATTAACATAAGTTCTGTAGTATACACGTGCTTGGCTTGGTGATGTAGGCCTGTAATCTCAGCCTGGGAGGCAGAAACACAAGTTCAAGGCCCGCTTGGGCTATAGGAGGACTGTATATGCAGCCTTCATCACTTAAGTGAGACCTACATAACTTAGTGTAAAGCATGAAGGAGGCCTTAGCTTCCATTCATGAGACTGGAATGAACACAAATGCACGCACATACACATACACACATGCATGCATGCACACACGCTCCCTAAGAAACCAGCTAAGAAGCTGGGGAAATGGTTCAGTAAGTCAAGTACTTGTCACAAAGTTAAGTTCCCCAGAACCCACAAACAAGTTTGTGTGAGGACAGAAGGACCCCAAAGGCTCACTGGCCAGGCAATCTAACCAAAATGGTGAGCTCCAGGCTCAAGAGAGATCCTCTGTCAAACACTTGAGATGGAGAAATAATTAAAGAAAGATATTCTGACATCAAGCTTTGGCATCCACACATGCCTGTTAGAAGGATGAATTAGTGCACTAGAGCATGCACATACACACCACATAGACAAGAGAGGAGGGTAGTTGAGGGAGGGAGAGGGAAAGGGAAAGAGAGGTGTGTGTGTGTGTGCGCTTGCGTATGAGCGAGAGAGATAGAGACAGAGACAAAGACAGAAACAGGAAAGTTGTAGCCCAAAGCAGCCACCCTGATGAACAAGCCAGTAGAAGAAACTTCATTATTTGTTTTGCAGCTTCTGAGTCACTACAATGAACGATGTGGTGAGAAAAAGAGAAATTTGTGTTGACCATCTATGGATTTTACCTAGTGTATGTTTTAATTGCTAGTCAAGTGCCAAGGGATGGGAAAGACATGGCGTGTGCTTCCAGGATAAGGCTGAGACTTTGACTTGCAACATGCAACGTGCTATACACATGGAAAGCTGAAGCAGAAGGACTGTTTAAGGTCAGTATAGGCTCCAGAGTAAGGCCTATTTTGTATTTCTAACAAAAACCGAAATACAAACAAAAATTCATCAAGAATTTACCAGAGCAGCAGGGAAAAGAACCATCAGAACGCTGGCACTGGAGAGGAGCTGCAGTCACAGTCCTAGATGACATTCCTACATCACTCCAGACAAAGGAACTAGTTGTACAGTTCTTATTGCCCAAGGAATGACATATACCATATGAGTGCAGTAGGAGTGCCTAACTCGTATCCTGAGAAGGGCAGTTGTCTGTACTCTCAGCAGTTTTTCAAGGTTGGGCTTACCTCTTCACTGGGATGGGTACAGGAAGGCTCGATCAGAGGTATCACTGGGGGCCACATAGTGTCAATTAAACTGAAAAGCCCTGGTGTTCTGGAACAAGAAAAGACACTGTTGGAAGCATTAATCAACAAACATTTGCCAATAAAGTACCAGACAGTGTACTTAAAGAAGACAGTTCTTTACACCGTGATGAACCTGCACATGAAAACAAATATGCAGAAAACACCTGAAGAACAGGCACCTCCTCAACTCCAGCACAAGGAGCCTGAGTAGGAAGATCAAGAGATATTCTCACTACCTACCAATAGTAAGAATAACAACAACAACAACAAAAAACCCTCAAAATAATAACAACAGTAAAATCAGGGCTAGAGAGATGGCTTAGTGGTTAAGAAGAAGCTGTTCTTCCAGAGGACCTGGGTTCAATTTCCAGTACCCACATGGCAGCTCACAACTGATGTGACTACGGTTGCAGAGGATCCGACGTTCTCACAGACATATATTCAGAGAATACACCAATGCACATAAAATAAAAATAAATATAAAAAGTAAGAAACAAATTCAAATGTCCTTATGTACATAGCAGTGACTAAAAGATATAAGCTATTTTGAATGGTTATCTGAAAATGGTTTAGAGGCAACATTTATATTTCCCCTTAGGATTGTTTTGTATGTATGTATGTATCTATGTGTGTATATGCATATATGATTGTTTTATATAAGCGGATATGTATATATAAATCTATAAAACATGCACAGTTAAAATGTATAAACATGTATGCCTTATATATAATTATCACTACTACTGTGAATATACATGATGTCTATGTGGGTACATGTGCCACAGTGGGAAACACTTTTATCCACTGAGTCATTTTGCTGGCCCTTACTTTTTGAATTTTGACAAAAGTTTTAGGCTGATGGCACATACTTTTAATCCTAGCACTGGAGAGAGAGAGAGGGAGGGAGTCCATGTCAGAGACAGCCCCTGTACCCCTTATTAGGGAACCCCAGGGAGACGGAGCTGCCTATCAGCTACATCTGAGCAAGGGGTCTAGGTCCTCTCCATACATGGTCCTTGTTAGGTGCATCAGTCTCTGCAGGTTCCCTGGGCCCAGCTTTGTTGGCTCTGCTGGTCTTCTTATGGAGCTCCTGTCTCCTCCGGGTCCTTCTATTCCCCCAGTCTTTCCTACAACTCCCTGCGCTCTGCCCAAAGTTTGGCCGTGATTCTTAGCATATGCTTCGATCCCCTGCTAGGTGAAGTCTTTTTCAGCTACTAAAAACAAGGAAATCATGAAATTTGCAGGGAAAGGAATGGAACTAGAAGAGATCTTACTGAGTGAGGCAACCCAGAACCAGAAATACATACATTTAAGCAGATATTAGCCATATAATTCCGGATAACCATACTACAATCCACAGACCTAAAGAAGCAAAATAACAAGAAGCACCCTAAGGAGGATGCTTAATTCTCATTCAGAAGGGCAAATAGAATAGACACTGGAAGCACTTGAAGAGAGGGAAAAGGATGGGAGCCTACCATAGATGTCCTCTGAAAGACCTTCAATTTCTTATCCTCCTACTGCCAGTTCCCAAATGCTCTGTAACAAGCATATACCACTGTATTCCATTTAGGCAGTGCTGGGGATGGAACCAAAGGCTCTGTGCATGCTGGACAAACATTCTATAAACTAAAAGCCTACCCCTATTTCAAAAACAAACATACAGATGCTTTTCAACTTAGGTACATTGGGGTTATATTCTGCTAAACTCATTGTAATTTGAAAATACCATGTGTCAAAAACACATCCAGAGGCTGGCTCAGAAGGTAGGTTCCTAGTACCAATGCTGGGAGGTTCACAGCTATCTGTAACTCCAGCTCCATGGGGTTTTGTGGTATTTTGAAAAGAATCGTGCCCATATGCTCATATGTCTGAATGCTTAATAATGAAGGAGTAGTATTACTTAGGAAGAATGAGGGTGAGTAGCCTCATTGGAGTAGTGTGGCCTTGTTGGAGGAAGTGTGTCACTGGGGGAGGGAGTTCAGGTTTCAAAACCTCAGTCCCAGTGATTCTCTTTTTCTGATGCCTGTGGATCTGGATGTAGACCTCTCTCTTAGCTCCTTCCTTCTCCAGCACCATGTAAGCCTGTGTGCTGCCGTGTTCCCCAATATGATGAAAATGGACTCAACTTTGAAACTGTCAGCAAGCTCCAATTAAATGCTTTCTTTTAAATCATCATGGTCTTGGTGTCTCTTTATAGCAACAGAACATACTATATACATAGTGTGTACAAACATATGCAGGCATGCACACATATACATAAAAAAGAAATTTAAAAAATTAATTTGCCTAACTTCCCAAGCTTGGCAGCAGTGCTCAACAGCAGAGTGAACCGCTTCCCCTGTGATTGCAGAGTTGAGTGGGAGCTGCAGTTTTTGGAAAGACAAAAATTTAAAGTATAAGCCAGGTGTGCAACTTAGATGAAATTCTAAGCACTGGGAGGCTGAAGCTACAGGATGTCTACTAATTTCAGGTCAACCTCAACTATATAATGAGACCCTGTCTCAGAGCCCTCTCTCCCCCAAAGTATTTGTTGAGTGCACATCACTTTTGTACCACCATAATATAAAGAAATTATTAAATTGAACCACTGTAAATAAGGGACTGTCTGTGTGTGACTTGTAGGTTAACAAAAGTTATCTAGCATAAAATATAGTCAAATAGTCTTAAAAAAATCTATGAGTCCACTTATATATTCTGGTCTAAGATTTGTGTTTCTAAGACAAAACCCTGGACCTCTGATCTAGCCCCTCATTAACAGAGAAAGAAGTCATATGGGTTCTGTTTTACTTCCACTTTTACAAACATGTGAAACATTACTCTTGGACTTTGTGTTTTCCCTTCTGTAAATGGTGATGTCTGATAGAGTTATTGCAAGAAACAAAAGAAATGAGCAAGAGGGCTGGGGACATCACTCAGGTGGTGGAATGTATGCCTAACATGCACAAAACCCTATGTTCCATCCCCAGCACTAAATAGGGCACAGCAACACAGACCTGTAATTCTAGCACTCAGGGAGTAGAAGCTAAATGGTCAGATGTTCAAATGAGTTTGACACTAGCTTGGGCTACATTACTTTATTAAAAAAAAAAAAAAAAAAGCCCCTACGAGAATTTCTAGGTCTAGAGCAGGACCTACCATGTTAGCCATCTTATGTTGCTGTACTTAAAACTGTTATAGTTAGAGACATTTTTTTGGTGCTATTTTTTCTTAAAAGTGTTTATACTTTAAGTAAAACAACAGTCTCTCATTACACCCCAAGGCAGACTTGGAACACTATATACAATGGTCTTTGCTAGCTGTAAACTCACCATTCTTCCCCCCTAGGCAGGCCTTGAAGCTTTGCCAACCTGCTTCATTCTTCTGCATAGCTGAGATTACAGAACATCACAGGATTATGATCACAGTCCACTCAATGCAGCATTTTAATCCCAGAGTTCTTCATGAAGAAACTGAATAGAAGTAGTGCAAGAGACCAGTGCAAAAGATGCTCTTTTGATATGACACTAAAGGGACGGTGTCAGCTCAGTGCCACAGCACTTGCCCAAAGCACCACTAAGATGGAAATAGCCCTTCCTACAGAGTAAATAGAAAAGTGCTTGAGTTTCCCAACAAGCTCAATCCATGAAAACAGGCTTCTGTGGTCAGTTAGGGTTGTATATGGCATCTCTGTGGTTTGTTTACAAGAGCTCTTAGCTACAGGCTGTAGGGAGACCGTAGAATAACAAAGGTTGTGAGAAGATGAAGAAAAGGTACTTGCAAAATTCTGTTAAGCCAGCCATTCCTGAACAAATACAAAAGAAACACACATATTAACACACAAAAAAGGAAATTTCGTGGAGCCCCACCTCTAAACAAACAACCACAGACAACTAAGGAATGCTGAGGGGAAAAAATAGTCTTTCCCAAAGATGAGTCCCAATGGTCAGAGATAATGCCAATGGTCATCCCTAACATACAAAAGTAATAGTAAGCACATGAGCAAGTTGTATTTTTATATTTATAAACTATGTGAGTGTGTGCATGTGTGCCCATGCATGTGCGCACAAGTGCCTGTGTGTGTGTGTGTGTGTGTGTGTGTGTGTGTGTGTGTTTGTATGTCTGTGTGTGTAGAGGGTTAAAACATGTTCTGGAATTAAGGCCATGGTGATGGTTGCCCATCTTGGTGAAAAAGATAAAAACAAGGTTGTTCACTTTAAAATGGTAAATTTTATGGTAAAGTATATCTAGATCAAGCTGTTATTTTAAACAGTGTTAGTGGATAGAGTATATAAGTAGGAGAGCCCTTACCTTGCAGGTAAAGGCCCTGTGTTCTGACAAAGTAAAACAAAAGATCATTAACTTAAGACAGGGTTTTCTAGAACAGATACCTTGAGCCTGAAATTGAAACACTTCCATCAATCAATCAGTCTTCTTCAGCTCTGCTTAGATGATTTTGGTACAAACATTCTCTCTTTAAATAGAATTCTGATTTTAGGTATATGAATGTCTTACTTGCATGTATGTGACATGTGTATGCGTGGTACCTGAAGAAGTCAGAGGTGGACACTGGGTCCCCTAGAACTGGAGTTACAGAAGGCTGGGTGCTGGGAATGGAACCTGGGTCCTCTGCAAGAGCAGAAAGTACTCTTTAGTGCTGTGCTCTGCTCTCTCTTTCTCTCTCTCTGAGAACAATAGAGTATATTTTACTTTGGTTTCCAGTTTTATGAGCAAGCTGCCATCATAGATAAGGAATGTCATGTTTATAGCCTTTACTATAATGACCTACTGTAAAGCAAAAGTATGGAATATACACCATAAAGAAGTATGTCAGTAACAACATGAGTAGTATTTCAGTAACAGCAAGAACAACTAATGTGGACCCTTAATGAGAATGGACTACCTGTTCAGCTTTGAGCTCAACATTTGTGTAAGAGCAGTCAGCTCTCTAACTACCAAGGCAGTGCCTTCCTGAGGGTACCAGGCCAGGCTGATTCTAGAATGTCCCAGGAATATCTTATAGATGAGCAGAATTACAAAGTGTTTCCC